TCAAACTACAGGTTTTCGGAGAATGTTTGCATGACTGTAGGGCAAATTGCAAATAGTGGAGAAACGAAAACGATGTTGGAACAGCTGTGATAAAAATGTAATACAACTGACTGACTGCACTGCTCATGCATATATAAAAGGGAAGATTCTAAAAGGCTTGTCACAATCAAAATGCTGCTCGCTCTTGCCGTGTTCTCCTCCCTCCTGCTGAATGTCGGCGCAACGCCTCCTTGTGAGTGCGGATTTCATCCCGTATTGGTGCCCCAGCCGATTCTTAGGCTGCGATCCTAACCACGTTCACTTAAGCGATAAAAAAAATTTTTAGATCATCAATGCGGTACTCCTGAAGCAGAAATCAGAAGTTATAAGTGGTTCTTCGGCCAATTTAAAAATCAGCTGGTTAGTCTTCTTTTCAAGATACATACTGGCGATAGAAGTGAAGTAATGACACGATTACTGCGTCGCTCATAGCCCGGTTCTTCAAGGAAAGGTCAGCAGATCAGACGCCCAATAAATGGAACTATAGCTCGCTTCTCGTAGAAGCGCTAGCTCAAAATTTCTTTCCATATCTTATGAACTATTCTACGGGAAGAGTTATGGAAGGCTTTGGGCGCGCTATCTCCCATGCTACAGTGCTCAACTTGAAAAAATCTTATAAAATTTTCGCGAGAAATGGTGCAACCCAAGTTATGTAAGCTGACCGATTATGCAAGTTTCTGTTTCATTTTGAAGCCGAACATGTAAACCCTGCGCACAAAATTCCCGTTTCATCGCGTTACAGTGAAATTCTGAGATCAGTTTCCAAGGTAAAAGTAGTTAGTAAATTATGTGCATTTTTCTGACCCTGAAGAAATGGTTCGTCCAAGTTCGAGAAGGCAGTGAGCAAAGCGGCTACTGGCGAGAACAACACCGAATTTTTCTCAAGAGCACTGCGTCATGATTGATAATAAACAAGCATTTCTTTCGTGCTGTGATTCTGAGCATCAATCTCCTTCAGTCGCCTTCAAATATAAAATAAGTTTTTTTTTCACATTCATTTTTCTTTTCTTTTATGTCACAGCTGAGCGTACATTTTTACGAGAGGGTCTGCCCATCGTATTGGTTTTCTGCCTCTGGGCCTTGTTTTCCCCTTTGGGTACCAGTCAGTCACTCTCTTCGTCCAGCGATCATCGGTGAAGTCTAGCCACATGACCGGCCCACCTCCGCTTGGAATTATAGATGGCATCACGGCGCCCTTAATCATTGTACGATTTTGATGAGTTTGATGTCAGTATAATTGTCCGTGTTGCACTGCCGCGTGATTTCAGTGGGGTGCGGGGATGCCGCACTCGCGCATGGTGTTGTGCACACCTTCTGCACCACTGTGTCGAAGGCCTTTTTGAAGTCGATAAAGAGAAGGCACAGTGGGGTGTAGTGCTCCTGGCAACGTTGAGTCAGCTGTGATTGGGCGGAAGTTGTTCAGATCGTACTGCGGTCCTTTTCTTTGTGAATGAGCAGCGTAGCGGAGCCTCCTAGGCGCTCCGGACTACTCTTCGCGCAGTATGCAGTATACAAGAAAGCCATTTCCCCAGGAAGTTGATGCTGCTGAGAAGAGTAACTCATTTGTGCCTTCTCCTCCATCTTGCAAAAGCTTTTTAATCTCGTGATAGCATGGTGGCTAATTTTTCCTGCCCACAGCGCTTGAGGATGGTCCTGGCTTTGAAACACCTATTGGCAAAACTAAAACAGATCCAGATTTCGAAACTTTCGAGTTTTGAGAGAGAGTCTTGATTTATTCAAGCCGAATGAATTAATGAAAAGAACTGTTTGGTCGAGAAACCCGGTACATGTGCATTCCAGAATACATTGCCCATAGTTGTCTTGCAATTGATCTAGAAACACACGCTCAATACAACCCAGCAGTCGTTTGTGAATAAACCGAAGATTGACAAAAATTCAAAAGGAGATGGTAAATATCATTAACACAACACTTCAAGTGATACAAGCAATTCGTACATCCGTGATGGTCAGCTATTTTATGTCATACAACGGTAAATGAAGCCAAAAGAGTGACATAGCCTCATAAAGCTGAAATGTGATGGTCATCAAGGCAGGTGGAAACAACCGGAATGACGGTAGTCCAAACGATCTAATCGGGTTGTTTCTCAGCTTGTTTCTTTGTAAACTCCTCAGCAGTTTTGTTGAATTTCTTACGATCTTTGCTGAATTACTCGGCTAGGTCGGCCCGAAGTGGATGATCACATTCGGGTTCTTAGAGCTAGTAGAGCCATCATCGCTTGTTCTGTTCGTGTTGCCCGTTTCCAATTACTCGGGTCTACGGAAGACAAACTTGACCCTTATCGTCGGTATGGGAGGGTAAATCTTCGGGACAAGGGTTCGGGACGACGCCGTTCCTGTGGGCAACCTACCTCAAACTTGGGTAATCAAACTTGGGTGAAAGAAAATTATGATCTTCTCTTCATTAGAGCTAAGACTGACGTGAGGGTCATGCGAAGCCTGGTGATTTCTCCTCGTTTCTACATTTCTAATACAGAGAAAGCACTATCATTGCATATGTTTCGTCACGCGCCATGATGGGCACACAACTCTACATTTGCTTAGTACAGTATTCAACCAACGTATAAGCATCAAACTACAGGTTTTCGGAGAATGTTTGCATGACTGTAGGGCAAATTGCAAATAGTGGAGAAACGAAAACGATGTTGGAACAGCTGTGATAAAAATGTAATACAACTGACTGACTGCACTGCTCATGCATATATAAAAGGGAAGATTCTAAAAGGCTTGTCACAATCAAAATGCTGCTCGCTCTTGCCGTGTTCTCCTCCCTCCTGCTGAATGTCGGCGCAACGCCTCCTTGTGAGTGCGGATTTCATCCCGTATTGGTGCCCCAGCCGATTCTTAGGCTGTGATCCTAACCACGTAAACTGAAGCTCCCTTCATTTGTACAATAAAAAAGATTATTTTTTTAGATCATCAATGCGGTACTCCTGAAGCAGAAATCAGAAGTTACAAGT